TTGTTGATGTTGTTGATCCAAAAGGTCGTTGGGGCTTGATCTTAAGATGAATGGATGATGAACGATGAACACTTTCTTCAAGGGTCGTCGGGGCTTGATCTTGAATTGGTGGCAGTTCTTCAAAGGGGTTGTTGGGGCTTGATCTTGAAGGTGGATGATTGTTGATCCAAGGGCCGTCGGGGCTTGATCTTGGAAGAACGATGTACGAAGAACGAAGAAGGCTTTCTTGATTCTTCGGGATGAACGGATGATAAACGATGAACACTTTCTTCAAGGGCCGTCGGGGCTTGATCTTGAATTGGTGGAAGTTCTTCAAAGGGGCCGTCGGGGCTTGATCTTGAAGGTGGATGATTGTTGATCCAAGGGCCGTCGAGGTTTGATCTTGGAAGAACGATGAACGAAGAATGAAAAGGGCTTTCTTGATTCTTCGGGATGAACGGATGATAAACGATGAACACTTTCTTCAAGGGCCGTCGGGGCCTGATCTTGAATTGGTGGAAGTTCTTCAAGGGCCTTTGGGGCTTGATCTTGAATTGGTGGAAGTTCTTCAAAGGGGCCATCGGGGCTTGATCTTGAAGGTGGATGATTGTCGATCCAAGGGCCGTCGGGGCTTGATCTTGGAAGAACGATGAACGAAGAACGAAGAAGGCTTTCTTGATTCTTCGGGAACCTGGATGCTTGAGAGCTTCGGAGTTTCAGAGCTTCAGAGCTTCAAGGTGTAATATGAATTGGTCCCCTGAAATGAATGAAATTGGCTTCTATTTATAGAATTTTCCAAGGCCTAATTTTGAATATAATATTCCAGATGAAATAAGTCGTTTCTGCCAGGTGTTGACACGTGTCCTGTTTGATGACTTTTCCGATGATTCTTGATTTTTTGTTTAGACACACGCTACGTGTAAAATTTATGTAATACATGAGCGTTGAAACTTTGATTTATCGGTCAATATTTATTTACCGAAATTTCGATGTCTACAAAAATATGATAGAGTTTTTTTGTTCTCGCGCTCATTTTCTCATCTGCATGTTCTGTTTATTTATCCTAGCATATGGGCACACACAAAGTGTGTGAGAAATTTTTTTATTTTTGTTTTTGAAATAGAAGGAGAGAGGAAGAGAGTGATAAAGAATGTGGGAGTGGGATTTTTTTTTTAATTAGAGATATGATAGGATTACATGTAGGTGAGGCTTTGAAAAAAAAACAAAATTTGGTTGTGTGAAATTACATTTTTGCCCCATTTTTCTTATTCATGTTATGTTTTAATTAGCGGGTTAAACTGATAATTTCATAGGATTTTGGTTGACAATGAATATTTTATTAATTAGTAGAGATATCCCGTGACTTTCATTTGTTTATCCAATTTACTGACTAATAATAAATAATAATGTGTTGTGTGAGAAAATGTGTTTGTAAAAATTCACTTTTGTGTTTGTTCAAAAAAAATAATTTGTGGGATTCATTAATATTTAATAGCACTGAAAAACATTCATCATGCACACATCTCTTTTCTTTCATCCTTTTTGGTTTGTGTAATTATCCCCTTAATTATCAATTCTGTCGTTATTTTTCTGTTAATTTCTCACGTGTAATGCACTTGACCAACTTTTAAGAGCATATGCATCAATAAAACGCTAACTTCAGAAGAAGAATTAGTAAATACTTGAAACTCGGATAATTGACTTATGAGAAATAAGTAAAAGCAGTAGTACAAACTTAACATGCAATAAGTTCACAACTCACAAGCATTGCTAAATTTTTGCTTTTATTTTTTATGGAATAAAGTACATACGACAATTGGAATGGAAATTTTTTGAAATGTTATACGAATTTATAAACTTTTATTAATTTGTCATATGAATTAAAATTTTAAGCGATTATCATACTAATTTTTTGAATCATTACTTTGTCATCTCACCATAACTCTGTTATGTTTTCCATCCAAGATAAGTCATGTGCCTTGCACATAACTTGTGTTCAAGGTTATTTCAACATAATGAATACCATCCAACTTTACCATAGATTTGAGGGCCAATGACTCTATATTTTGGGTCATCTGCAGTCCGAAACACATTGAAGTGATAGGTCGTTCTCCTTTTTCGAACGACAAACCCTCATATCATCGTATACCAGATCAACTCCTTTTTGTATTTTGTTATAGAAATCCTAGATTAATTTTTATCGAAGGGAGAGTGAGGTGTTGAAATGACCGAAATAACCTTGGATACAAGTCATGTGCAAGACACATGAATTTTTTGGATGTAAAACTTAACGTAGTTAGGGTGAGATGACAGATTAATGTTTGGAAAGTTGATATGACAAATTGCTTAAAATTTTAATTCATATGACAAATTAAAAAATGTGTATAAACTTTATATGACATTTCAAAAAAATTTCTAATTTAAAAAGCTTTTGTATTTTAATGGTTTGAAACATGCACATGACCGACAACGTTTACACCTTTAATTGTTATTTTATTTAGCAAATCATTAATGAAAATCATATCTCTTGGCTTAAACAAAGAGTGAAATAAGAACATAGGATCGATGCCAACAAGTAAAACATGCCGAGCCTGGCCAAATGAAACCTGCATCATTGCTTTGTTGTGTCCATCTGTAAGTTCATGTCCTATGTAATGATTCACCTCGTATGCAAGATTCGTTTAATATAATGTGAAATGATAGGTTTTTACAAAAACAAGAAGACTAGCTACTGTTCAAACATTTGCCAGTTGCAAATAATGGGAAGCAATAATTGAAATTATATACATGAAATAATAGATCCTTCTAGTGTATAAAAAAATAAGAAAAAAAATCCGGAGATAGTGGATCCTATGAAATGATTTCGAATCAAGACATGGAGAGATTTTTCAGTGTACAGGAAACATGGCTCGGTACACCAAATGTAATAATACAAGTAGTTGAATACTTAAAAAAAATCAACTATATTTGTACTATGACACTTGATGTACAAGACTGTACTCCCAACACACTAAAAAATTTCTCCAAGACATGATCAAGAACCAGTACACTTGTCCTCCTTTGGACCCTTCATTGAGCTTTAGATTTAAGTGAGAAAGTTTTATGAACATTTTAAGTTCACATGAGAAATTATATGAAATAATAGATGATTTTATGTACGTCATCGGAAAAATTAAAAAAATTAAAAAAAATCCTGAATTGATGGGTACTATAACGATTTCAAATCAAGCCATGATCAATAACGAGCACACTTGTACTCATTTGGATCCTTGATCTTATTATCTTTCACAAAGAATATTTTATGAATGAGAAATGATTTTCACTCTTATCTTTTACATCACTTATTTATATTTTCTGAATCTCTTTTGATTTATTCAATTTTACAATTATAGGAAATGAACGAACAAATGTCATTTTCCAATCTATTTTGATGTATTTTTGTTATAAAAATATGGCTTATTTGTTGAAGATGAAAATGGGTATTACTGGTGAAGTGCCGCTCTTATAGGAAATGGCGACCGTTGCATCAGAGCGGAACCATTGTAGTTCTTTATGAGAGGGGTCGCACAGATAACCTGGTCGACCGCATCTTCCAGCTTTTTCTTTCACTAGCTGGCAACTTTTTCTCTCATATAAAGTATATATGTTTAGGGACCAACTTCAGGAGGAATGAGGTATGAAATATCCATTTTAAGGACTTGATGAAGTGTACATTTGAGAAGAAAATTTGAGAGCGATCACATGTAGTAGTTTGTTGTCCCACTCTATAAAGCCGGCCACAAAAGAACATTTCTGCATATTCCAATATTCTTTCGGATGTTTAATTTAATATGTCAAAGATTCAGAATTAAAATATATAGAATGCATGAGGGCACAGTCACTGCGACGCATACATGTACGTGTACGCAAGTGACAAGCAGCCAACAGGCAACGGTACTGGAAGTTTCCATTGGCTATGAAAATCAATAAAAATCTCGACCAACGATGATTTTGACCTTTCCTAGTTGTATCACTCCCATCTCAATATTATATGTCAAGATATCACTCCCATCTTAGTACTATATGTCGAGAGAATCTTGAGTGAGGTGCCACGTATGTGGTCAGGCTTGTGCTACCACTCAATACTAAGCTGTAAGGCTGCCAGTGCCAGAGGTGGAACAGATGAGTTCTGATGAACCAAAACACAGGTGTTGTGTTTGTGTGTGGCTGCAAGGTGCAAGGAACCAATCATTTTAAGTGACGAAAGTTCTACCAATAGGTGGTGAAAGAACTAATAATTAATTGCAAAGTTAGTTATAATTTGCATTATACTTGGAGAACTATTGGTTTCCAATTTTTATAGGTTCCATTTTATTTTTAGTTTTTATTATTTGATTTAGAGACATAGGAAAAATATAAAGGCGAAAATATGAAAGAATAATGATTACTGATTGAGGGAGGAGGAAGAAATGAAGGAAATTTTTAGGAAAAAAGATTTTAAATTATTTTTAGTTTTTATTTTGTGTATCCTTTCACATAAATCTTTATCACTCTCCTTCCACCATCACTTCTCCACCATTATTTATCCATTCTATCTCTCACACACTTCAATCTCTATCTCTATCTCTATCTGTATTTGTATCACAAATAATAAAACTCAAAACCTAAAAATGGAATTGAAACCAAACACATGCCCTAATTATATTTTCCATAAATTTTCAAGTTTAGCATGCATATAATTCGATATCGTTTGCTTCACAAAAGATTTATATGGAAACATATAGGAATGCAAGATAAATAGATATTTGTTATGAGTTTGATTCACAGCTGTGTTTCCAGTGTTTAGTGTGCCGTTGCTTTTTTTTGGGTGTGCGGTTGCAAAATAGCATATTTATAAACATTTTCTCATTTGTGAAACCACAAACCATATATGACATCACATAAAAATATAAAAAAAGATGGTGGTAAGTGAGACATGCTCGCGGTTCTATATGTAACAACTAACAAGTATATCTATAAATAGCTTCCCCCTTTGGACCATTAATGTACGCAGCCACAATAGAAGAGAGAGACAGAGAGAGCTTCTGCTTGGTGAATACAAGCATTTTCCTGAGCAGTTGTTTTGATAATCGATAGGTCGATATGTTGCCAATTGGATTGTCTTCTGTTTATCTATGGTGCAGTACTGCAGCCGGCATTGCTGGTATACCTTCTTCGTTTTTACAAAATATATATTTCTGTGTGCGCGCGCGTGTGTATGTATTGTGTGCATATATATATGTATATATATTGCTTTAGATACATGTTTCTGCTTCATGAAGCACAACCATGCATGAAATTTTTTGAATGACTTCATATCATCCTGTTGCGGATCAAGAACTTCACCTTGATTTAATTGTTAGTTTAAGGTGAAAATTCACAAGTAGTAAGGCCTTGCTTTATATTCTTGGAATCTATAAAAAAATATTCAAGTTGTCATAATCACATATTCTTGCACAAAAGAAACGTCTGAGATTCGACATATGTATATTATATGGTTTTTATGACGCCTACTTCATCAGACGTGGGGATCAAAATTGAGAAAACCTGGTTATGATAACGTAAGAAACAATGTGAAACTCATCAAAACAATCTGAGACATTTATTTATTAATTGTGCATGTATGTATAATGAATATGATTCAAGGCCCCATGCCTTGATACAATCATATGCCCTCAATTTTACTGTACGGACAAGCTTTCTATGATCGATTAATCTTCAGTTGTACATAGACTTGTCAATGCATTTTATTTTTATTCAAACCTGATCCCGATTTGATGATAATCCATTATGATCCGAAGTCAATAACCCATTACCTTAACAAATCAAGTATGAATTAGAGATAATAGTAATTTGATCCAAGTTAGTATGTATAATTTGTCAATTATTTGTTTTATTACGTATATAAATGTCATTTGAAGGAGGTCTTTTTCTGGTAGAATATAATCATTTTTTCAACTTCTTGTATGAAAATTAAAGTATATTATTGGTAAAAAAAAACCTTTGCCGATCGAAGGAAATATGTATAAAAAGTGTGATCGATGGGGTAGATATGCAAATTTGACTAAAAGAAAAACCGATTAGAAATGCAAGAAACATTCTAACACTCATCTCTGTCAACTGCAGGCAATATCTGTGCAATTTCGTTATATTTGTCCCCAATGTAAGTTGTTTATAAAGTTTATGAGAAAGATAGGAATTCATGAAAATTTTCGCTTCCCACTGACTTTTGAATCCTTTATGTTCTTTCAGGCCAACATTTAAGAGAATTATCACAAACAGGTCAACAGAACAATTCTCAGGATTGCCTTACATATACGGCCTTTTGAATTGCTTGATATGCACATGGTATGGCCTGCCTATAGTGAAGAGTGGTATTATAATGGTGGCTACAGTTAATTCAATCGGAGCTGTTTTCCAGTTAGTCTACTTGATCATTTTCATTATGTACGCCGAAAAATCAATTAAGGTAATCATCTCTCCCAAATTCTACCTGCTCTTCTTAAGATCAAGTCCCCTTTTCAACTCTGCATGACTGACCAATTGTTGTTCTTTAAAATGCTCATTGTAGTTGAGGATATCAGGATTGCTCGGAATAGTTTCTGTTCTTTTTGCAGCCGTCGTCCTTGTGAGCTTAAGACTTTCGGGCCATGAGAGGGAACTGTTCGTAGGATATATATGTGCTTTTTCAGTAGTTTCAGTGTATGCTTCGCCATTGTTTATCATCGTAAGTTCGCATGGAATCATAGTTATATTCTCCCTCAGGTTGCTGTGCAATTTCTTCTCATTGATGTCGTTTCACATATACCTTTTTTCAGAATTTGGTGATCAAAACAAGGAGTGTTGAGTTCATGCCATTTAATCTTTCTCTTGCAACTTTTTTGGTGAGTTTCTCTTTCTGTGCATACGGAGCGTTGCAGGGCGCCCCTTTTGTCTATGTAAGTATTCTTTTTCCTTGAGCGAATTTTAGAAGTTCTATTATCACTCTAAGCAGTAACAACATCACACTTGTATAACTTATTAACTTGTGTTTATTATTTTTCATGCAGATCCCAAACGGTCTTGGAACAATTTTAGGGTTTGTCCAGTTGGTTCTGTACTCATACTACAGCAAAATATCTGGAGATGATGACTCAAGAGAACCATTGCTTGTTTAATTTCGGATGCGTCGTGAACGAACTTACTGGACCAGTTTAAACTCAATGCAGTAAAATCAAAGCCCAAGGTCATAAAATGTTGTAGTGAAGGGTATGGAGTTTCTACGTGATGCAGTATAGAATCTCACTCGTCTATCAACAAAAAAAATCTCAAGAGGGTAATATCAGCCCTAGGTCAACTGTTGAATTATTTCCACAATTAGCACTGTTTATCTTCGCATATCTTCTCTTAATTAGTTGTTGTTATTATTTACTTAATTAGGAAAAGATTGTAACAGTCTAGGGTTGTCACCATCCATAAGCATTAGCCTTAACTCATTAATCAGTTTTCTTTCTGTGCACCGTTCGATCTTGTCAACTTTGTTCATTCTTGCATAATTCACGCTCCCCTTGCATTGGTATAAACTACTAGTAAGTAGGAATTATTGATTAATTATTGAATAACAGTATCAAGTTTGCATATGAATAAGCTCTTTCAACCTATTTTTTCATCTAATATTATAATACCATTAAATAAATTACAATACAAATTTTCAACAATCCTCCACCTGAATTCAAAATTAAGAATTTGAAATACATGTGCAGATCGATGTATAGGAACCTATAAGAGTACTAGAAGAGACTTATCAGATTTATCTCAAGTAGTGTATAAAATGATGTTGAATTATTCCCCACTAGTATAAACTAACAAGACAATACGAATTTTACATCTCTCATCCTAATATATTATATATGCAGTTGTGTTCTCTCAACTAATCCAAAATTCAAGAAAGTTTTAAAAAACTACGAGCTCGTTTGGATGTGCTTTTAAAATAATTAAAAGCGCTTTTAAAGAAAATGTTTTTGGGTTCCAAAAGCACTTTAAAGTGTTTTCTGCAAGAAGCATCAGTTATGTGCTTTTTCTAGGAAGCACTTTAAGTGCTTTTCTAGGATTTACTTGTATTTTTACTAATGATTAGTTCTAAAAAAAAAGTTTCACCAAAAACACATTTGGTCATTTTAAAAGCACATCCAAACTACTGTACGAGTACAAAGCACTTTTGCTATCCTAAAATGAGGCATGTAGTCTGTTAACTTATTGCAACTAGTTTGTCTGTTCAACCTAGAATCTCCAATCAACTTCACTCATTGAGTTGACTTTTTATCATTCCTTTCATGAGTAAACTGTCGGTTTACCCCCTGAACTTTCACCTCACTTTCGATTTCCCCCCTGAACTTTTCCATTGGAAAATTAAGGACTCAAACTAATTTTTTTAGCCAATTTGCCCCCTACCGTTAGTTTTTCATATATTCCATCCATATTTCCGTTAAGTGAGACCATGTGCACAACATGTGAGGGTAGTTAAGTTATTTCACTCTTAAAAATAATTAAAAAACTGAAAATAATAAAAAAAGCAAAACTTTCTCTCTATTTTTTCTCGCTAATTCCTATCCTCGATTTTATTTTTCCCTCTCATTCCTATGCATGAGAAAAGACATATGGTGTTATTGTCTACCATTTTTATTTTCTTTAACAAATTAATAATTTGACAAATGCTAATGGTGCTATTGTCTCCAAAGCAGTGCATTAATATAAGAAACCCTAGTCTTTTTTATGGACATGTTTCTTATATTAATGCACTGCTTTGGAGACAATAACACCATTAGCATTTGTCAAATTATTAATTTGTTAGAGAAAATTAAAATGGTAGTACATGCTTCAAAAAAAAGATTAACTTAGCTACTTATGAAGACAATAACACCGTATGTTATTTCTCATGCATAGGAATGAGAGGGAAAATTAAAATTGAGGATAGGAATTAGCAGGAAAAAATAGAGGGAAAATTATTATTATTATTTATTTTAAGTTTTTAATCATTTTTAAATTGAAATGACTTAACTATCCTCACATGTTATGCACATGGTCTCACTTAACGGAAATATGGATGGAATATATGAAAAACTAACGGTAGGGGGCAAATTGGCTAAAAAAATTAGTTTGAGTCCTTAATTTTCCAATAGAAAAGTTCAGGGGGGAAATCGAAAGTGGGGTGAAAGTTCAGGGGGTAAACCGACAGTTTACCCTTCCTTTCATATATCAACTTACGCTCTAGTTAAATATTTAATAAATAATTAGATCTACTAGTTTGACTAAGGGCAATGCCAATTTCTATTGTCACAACTCAAAGTCAATATGCTAATTAGTATTACGGTCTAGTGATATTCCTCTTCACTTATAAGCGAGAGGTCGATTCGATTTTCGCCAAAGACAAATTTGAACCACATTATTGATGGCTCATTGAGGCTAAGCACACCTCTTTCTCTTTAATGTACATAATATCGTATGTTCCCAAAAAAAAAAAAAAAACCTCAAAGTCAGTATCACTGTCACAACTAAAATGTAAGTAGTTGTCATTTCTTTGACCAATCCATGCAAACACAAAATTTTTGCAAAACATAAAGATGGCTAAAAAAATGATGTGCTAGAAAGACTTCATGATGCACAAATTTTGGTCAACTATTCTAAGGTAAAAAACCCACTCGACTTTAAAGTGGAGAGATATTTTATGTACTCAGAACACGGGATAGTACATCATATATTTATTATACAAATGAAGAATTTTTTTTTTTTCAAGTGTTCCTCAGAGCACCAAGCACCAAGCACCAAGAATTCAAAGCTTTTCAGAGGATGTACATCGGGGATTTAGTTGCCTTTCTTATCCGATTAGAAGGAAAATAAAAAAAAAGACTGAGACATTGAGAGATGCCAATAGTTTAAGGGGGAAAAAACAATCGTCATTAATCGATTTTTCCTTTTTTTGTGATATATCAAAACTGCCTTTGGACCTAATGAGTCCGGCCCATTAGGTTCCACCAGCTAATGCTCAATCACGAAAAATGACCCCAAAAAAATTGAAGGTTGATGATTCGATTTGATTTCGGCCTTGATGGGCAACCATTTTCCAAGATGCTTCTTATCTTGGGGGAGGTCATTTTCATATTTTCATGGGACATGTATATATTGGGTCAACAATTTAAAATAAATTGGCTTTCTCATCATATGTCAGTATCATATTAACTAGTTATTACGCATAAAAAATAATCTCATCAACGATTTCTACACACTTGTTTTTTTTTTTTTTTTTTTTTGTCCCCATCTCTTGTTATGTCACTTGATTGTCTATTGCATTATTAAATGCAAATGCTAAGGAGTGCAAAGGTAGAAGCTCACCCCTTATAATTATTTGACAGGTGTTTAACCAAACTTGAAAAGTAGTCGAATTTCACGGTAAGTCTAGAAAAACTTCTGTGACTTAAATAAGTTATTTTATTTCACATCGAGTGCAGAGTTATTTTTCCATCAGACCCAGGATCCGAAGGGTGATAGTTGAAGGAGAAGTTCTTCAGTGTGCTGGGAACAAGGTCCGATACACCTAGTGTCATAATACAATTAGTTAAAAAAAAGTTTTTAAAATTTTTAACCAATTCTATTATTACATTTGCTGTACTTGGACGTGTTTTGGCACATTAAAAAATCTCTTGGGTTGAAGGCTCAGAATTTAGAGAGGTTCATGAACCATGGTCCTTGCCCCATGTTCATATCAAGTACATTTAAATGTGTCTTTCACCGGCGGATCTAGGAAATTTTCATCGGGTGGGCTAGCTTAAAGATTTAATCTTTATAAACAAAGAAACTTGATATTGTATTTTTCAGAGTATGCTCTAGCTTAAGAAAATTTCACAAGGTGAGCCGAGAATTTTCGTTATTAAACAAATACGTGTTAAAATTCAAACAAATCTAAACTTGTACATGTACAAGAAGCGATGAGAACAAGAATGTAACAAAAAGAGATGGTTTGTAAACTGTATTATATAATTTTATATGGTTAAACCAAGAGAATTAAGATTAGTGACTAAATATATAATGGGCTACAATCGAAAATCGATAAAAATTACACGTAAAATTTTAATTTTTTACTGAAAGCTACATGGGCTATAGCCCAGAATAGCCCTTAACATGGCTATGCCATTGTCTTTCGCAAGAAAGAGGGGTAGATTCAACGTCAAATATTGATGAGTGAAGACACATGGCAATATCTTAATGGTTGATGACATGTCAATCTATACGTTTGGGAGTGGATGTAATTGGTTGAGGTTAGTTAGAATCTGGAGGTAGTTGATAAATAGATAAGGAATGGTAGTTTAGTCATTAAGAAGTTGTTGTCATATAAAAAGCCTTGTAAACACTTTATTTCTACTTCAATACAATCAGAGCTTTCTCTTTATATTTCTCAAACATCACTCTTCTTTACTTATATTTTTTGCTTCTTCGAATCATTCTTCATAGCCATGGATTGCTGGAAATACATCTGTTAACATGGTATCAAGATTCGTCGGTCCACTGTGGGTCTGTGAATGTTCTTGGGCTCTGCAATTCTGGGTCTTTTAGGGAGTTTGTGCTGAAGGTTCATCTGGATTTTTTGGGGAGTTCGTGTTGAAGGTTCATCTATTGAAGATTTTTGTAACTGCAGATCTGAGTAATTATTCGTCTTTGTCGATCTCAGGTGATATGTTTCATTTTGAAGTCATGATTTTTACTTTTTTTTTTATGGGTTTCTTGGGGCATGAAGCTGGTATCTTGTTAAATTGTGAAGTTTTTTTGGGGCACAAAGTCATTTTCTTGTTGAATTGTTAAGGCACAGAGTCATTTTCTTGAATTGTGAAGGAAGCTATTTCCTTGATTAGTTTGTTGCGGCACGAAACCATTATCTGCTATAATCTCAGTGGCACGAAGCCATTCTTGTATGTTTTCTGCAATTCTTGGGTGTTAGTTGTAGTTACCTCTGTGTAATACTTCAATTTGTGAAAAAAAAAATGACAGTTCCTGGTGTAAAGATTAAGGGAGTATTGGGGATGTTGACAATTAAACTGAATGATCGAAATTTTTCTAAATGGGCTTTTCAATTCAAGTCAATCCTGAAAGGGTATAAGTTGTTTGATCACTTTGATGGATTTGCTATGTGTCCTCCAAAGTATGTCATTCATATAGAAAATAGGGTTACTACAGAAGTCACAACATCTTTCTTGGAATGGGAATCTTTTGATATGGCATTGTTAAGTTTACTTCTTGCTACATTATCTGATAAAGCAATTGAGCATGTTCTTGGATGCAGAACTGCACATGAAGCTTGGTTTAGCTTACAAGATAAGTATGCATCATGTCCAAGGCTGAAGTCAATACTCTAAAGACCGAGTTTCAAACTTTGTAGAAATAATGAGATTCAATGGATCAGTTCTTGTCAAAACTCAGGAATATTAAAGAACAATTACTTAATGATGGTGAAATTGTTTCAGATAATGACTTTATCTTTGATGTGTTATCTGGGTTACCTCGAGAATATTCTACCATTAGGACAATGATTCTTACCAGGGATACCCCTATCTCCTTGAGAGAATTTTGTGAGTAGTTGTTATGTGCAGAGAGAAAAGTGGAATCTATCTTGAATATTGTGTCTCATAATTTCTCAGGTCTATATATGCAGGGACTATCGCAAGGATTTACTAGTAACTCTAGAGGAGTTCCATTTACAACTGGTGGTGTTGTTTATACCATATTTAAGGCCTCGTATTTAGATCTCGTACAAATACTCAGGGGACTTAAATGTAATTATGTGATAAAGGAATGGGCAAATATGTAATAAGTGAGGAGTCCTTATTTTATAAAAGGACCCCTCACCCTCACAATTAGGGGAGGCCATTTCTGGAGCCTCCTCACATCCCCTAAGCTCTAAGCTCTCTCTCCCTCTTCAACAGAGAAATATAATACAATCAGTGTGGACGTAGCCTAAACCTTGGGGTGAACCACGATACATCTTGTGTCATTTATGTTTCTTGCAGATTCACGGTCGGATTTACGTTGTTCCAAGACCTTCGGTTTTGTGCATCAACATTTAGTGCCGTCTATGGGAATCGATACGAAAACTATGTCGGTTTCTCTCTCAATTTTTCATACCACCACCGTGGATCTGCAAAATCACAAAAAAATAAAAAAAAATTGCCTAGGCCTCATCTTCTTTGGGCCTAACAACTTTCATAACAAATATATATGAAGAAGGAGTTTTGGGCTACCACTTAGAAAGGAAATGCCTCATTCGTCAACTCCCTCGACCAGAGACTTGGGGGACTCCTACCATATGCTACTGCACCTTGATACTTGGAAGTCTCACGACCACTTAGTGACTTGGATTTTTCAAGTCTCCAAACGAGAAGTTTTCCTCACTCGGGAAATTAAGGGAGCACTACCTCAACCTACATGCTTCACTCACAAAGTTTCAACATACAAGCTTCAACAAAAGGAAAAATTCAAAGAACTTAGTGAAGAAGGCCTTGGTGTATTTAACACAATACGTTGAAATGAAGCAAATCTTGTTTATTGATATTCCCGATAAGTTACAAATATGTACATATACATGAATCAAAATAAACAAACAAGAGGGAGCCTTCACAAAGGTTGCTTAGGGGAAGTCTCAGCAGTCGGTAGAGCCCCAGAAAGAGAAGCACCGGAGGGTGGTTATCCGGAGCCTCAGTACTGGAAAGAACCCCAGAAGGAAGATGCATTGGAGGTTGATCATTTGGAGCTTCATTATGCGGTACAGCCCCAGAAGACGAAGACAATAAATGCATTTGGAACAAACCCACAAACCGCTAATGATCAAGTAAAATCTGACCATTAGATTCCTTCATCTGGTCAAGCTTCCTCTTCATGTTTGTAGCATAGTCATGTGCGAGCCGGTGCAACTGTTTATTCTCATGCTTGAGCCCTCTAATCTCCTATTTGAGACTCATCACTTCAGCAGCTAATGATTCAACTTGGCGGGTTCTAGCAAATAGGCGTTGGGCCATATTAGACACAGAACCTGCACACTGAACACTAAGAGCCAGAGAATCCTTAACAGCCAACTCATCAGACCGTTTGGAAAGTAGTCTATTATCTTTGGGAGTGAGAAGGTTCCTGGCCACCACCGCAGCGGTCATATCATTCTTCATCACAGAATCCCCAACGATAAGAGGACCAGTAGGGGATATGAAGGATGGACGCCATATGTTGTCTGGAGAAGGCGTGGCTGTCTCTTCTCCAATGTTCAAGTCAAAACGACGGTCGGAGGGGCTAGACATTTTCAAAGGTGTTGAAGAGGGAAGAGGTCAGACAAATCAAGATCTTAAAAGTGCAAGAAGGGAGCTTCTACTGGTGGAGATTCAAGTGTGCTGTGGAACTTAATGACAACCTCTATAAAAATCTGCACTTGACGGAGCTTCAGGAATCGAATATGCGTTTGCTTTCTCGAAAGCTGAGCTGCTCAGAGACCACGATGGTCGATCTCAGAAATCGAAGAAGCACCTGCTTTTTCGTCCTCGTCAGCACCTGTCACATGCACATTCAGCTTTGCGAAAATTACGGGCAATCTGTCGAAGATTTCTGGTGAAGTAGAAAGCACATGAATCTTACTGTTCAATCACCACTCCACACGCACCATCAACTCCTCGGGTACCACATATAACTTTGCCAAAGATCTCTGACAAAGTTTAGGCACGAGAATTTCGAAGTTCCAGCTACCCTACTATTACCCACAGGGTAAAGGAACAGAACCACTGCTTGACAACTGGAAAGTCCCTATGTGTGTCGACCTCCATGTTCTGTGGCAAGACAGGCTGGCAAGAACGTCCAACCTTTACTCACATTCGAGAAAAGACTCCCAACATAATTACTTTCTCAAAAACCGAAGCGGCACCGCTTTCCGAATCTTGAGAGCCAGATCCCCGACAGGATTGCTTGTTCGAAAACCGAAGAGGCACAACTCTCAAAACTTCGAGAGCCAGATTTCCTTAGATAAAGCTTGTCTGTAATCTTCACACGCAACATCAGCTTTCCAGATACCACATACCACTTTTTCAAAGTACTCTGACAAAGTTAAAACACATGAAGCTGGCAGCTCCCACTACATTGCTGTGACCAAGAAGGGTAAAGGAATAGCATTACTACTTGTTATTGGGAAATCCCTATATACATCGACCTCCCTCCTCAACGGACAGGCAAACCTGCAAAAATGCTCAACCCTTTCTCGCATTCGAGAATGCACCCTCAACATAACTTCTCGAAATACTCAGCTTTATTTCCCCCCGATAATACCTCAGCAAATAAGCCACACCAAGAACAAGAGTATCTCATATCATCAGGGTCGAAAGCAAGAGTATCCCATATCATGCTTCTCCCTGTCCTTGTCCACACCTGCAGGACAAAGAGAAAGAGAGCAGTCAGTCGGAACCTGAAATCAAACCTCCAATCTGGAACTGACTGTCTGAGACCTTTGCCTGGTTGCTTACTTAGCATTTCTCTCGAGAACTCATCCTCAACTGCTGTCAAGGTCATGAATTCCACCGGCACATACCTCATGACAGTTGATCAGATATTGGCTCTTTACACTGAAGCTGCCAAGCGTGGATGAGTCACTATGAAGGAATGTTCTGAATGATCATTTAAATGCAAAGGTTGCACACCACTTCTGCTATGCAAAAGATTGAAGCAGAAGGTTCAACGGTGAGCTGAAACAGATCACTACAGCACGACACCTTTCCATACCACATTCATTATTCCGTCAACAGCAAAAGTATCCCATATCATCAAGGTCGAACGTACTCTAGATTTGATGGACTTGTTTTGACCCTCAAATTCTTGAGTCGGCCTTATACTCTGAAGGGAACCAGAAAACCCTCCAGCACAGTTCAAGAATAAGCCTGTGGAAAGTTACTTCTTCAAAAGCAAAAGTATCTCATATCATCTCTTCTCCATTTGCTTCTCCTTATCCTGGCAGCTGAATGAGAGACAAGGAGAAGGAGAACAATCAACCGGAAGCCAAAGTCGAACCTCCGATCCTGGGTTGCTTGCTTGGAAGTTTGACTGCTTACCTTGTCTGTCACCTCTTTCGGCAGATCTCCTAGCTCGGCGACTTGGGGGACTCCTACTATAGGGTTTGTATCGCACTTGACCAAGCCCGAAACTACAAGTAAGCTTCAAGTGAAATTGATACATTACCTTGTGTATCTTCATCGGTTAAAGATACCACCCATGGATGGAGGAAAAGTACTTCCAGAGAAGATGCCACATCTACATATGAGACAGATAAGGCACGTGAAAATGATACCACACTTCAGTACTTAGAAGTTTCGTGATTACTCAATGGCTTGGATCTTGCAAGTCCCCAACCGAGGAGCTTCCCTTACTCGGGAACTTAGGGGAGTACTATTTGTACCATACTTGACCAATCCCGAAACTACTGAGCACCGGTCAACGTTATACCATCAAGGACCCAGAAGAGCTTCCCTTCAACCAGGAGGCCAATCACAATGCGACACGTGTCGACATCAGAAGCCAATCACAGCTCGACACGTGTCAACATCAGAAGCCAATCACAACACGACACGTGTCAATGTTAGAACAAAACTAGAAACTCTCCTCTATAAATAGGGATCATTCTCCCACAATAATCTCTAATGTCATTTTGTACTAAACTATTCACTAGAACTCACAAAATGAGAGCTTGAACCTATGTATTTGTGTAAACCCTTCACAATTAATGAGAACTCCTCTACTCCGTGGACGTAGCCGATCTGGGTGAACCACGTACATCTTGTGTTTGCTTCCCTGTCCTTATTCATTTACGTACTTATCTTCACTAGTGATCGAAGCAAGCGAAGGTCACGAACCTGACACTTTCTGTTGTACCAAAGTCCTCGCTGATTTTGTGCATCAACATTTGGCACCGCAAAACAAGTAACACGGCTAGTGAACAGTGCATTTGTGCTCATAACTCTCGGAGGCAATGACTGGGTCAACAACTATTTCGTCCAACCTGTCTCCAAGACCATGCCAGTATTTCGTCCCTGATTTCTCCACTTACCTCACCTCACTCGGAGGCAAAATGAAAGAGAACCAAGCAATGTTACAGAAGATTGAAGTTCTCTTTCTAAATATCAACAGCAAACCAAGCAAACTGCCTTGAAGCGTGAAGGGAGTACCAGCCTTGCTTATTCCTTCTCTAGCCAGAAATTGAGTAGTGGTAGCAGCGACGAAGATGCTGGTGAGCATGAGGAGTTAGAGGAGAAATTTAATTTGCTTGATGGTTGGACAAGAAGAAGGCAACATGAGATCAATCCAGGCAGAGCTTCGTTTGATCAGAGAGATCCTATCAAAACAGTTGAAATCAACACTTCTCGACCTTACTCTTATTCGAGTACCCCGAATTCCAATTCTAGAATCAAAAGATCAGATCAATATAATTATCAGAGCCACCATCTGCAGTATAATTATCAACAGCAAAGAGCTCATCCTCAGTCATATCCAGTTGCCTCTCCTCAATCACCTGTCCCGCCAAACATCTTTCCGGTTCATCCCCCATTCGCATGAATCGCCCACACTCCCCTCATCTCTGCAACAGCAGCTCAACCTTTTAGGGTTTCCAAACTTTCAAAATTCCAATTACAACTACGGCTTCCCCCACTCCAAGTCCCTCCTCCGCGGCTCGCTCGCCGTGGCCCGGCTTGACCCCAACCCCGGTCTGATTCCCGAACCAGAAGACGCAGGAGCTGTGCTGATGGAGTTGTTCGGTAAAGCCGAGAGCTTGCTTTACATGGTGGCCGATGCGGCTATGTTGTCGACGTCGGAGAATTTGACTACTTCGAAATAGAGCAGCGATTGGCTTTCTAGGATTACGAGTTACCTCGAGAGCATTCTCAAGTTTTTGAAAGATGGGTTTTCTGCTGTGCATGTAAAAAGTGGCTTGATCAAGATCAGCTGATTGTATTTATCAAATTTTTGGTCATGCTTCCTGTTTATACCATATTGGGCGTGGCGGGTCGGTGTCCGGGGTTGCCCATGGTGGTCTGCTGCAGCTCACGTGACGTGCTCGACGCCATTAGCTCCGTCGTCGCCAATGTCCTCTATATCTCTTGGCTTCTCTGGACTACGCTTCTCCATTTGACGGAGATGGTTATGGCACGTGATAAAAAAGGAGGACATGAGGGTCCTGCAGATCCGCGGCGAGATGAGCAGGAAGCAGGTGGAGAAGGGGATGCAGCTGTCACTTTGGCTGCAATTATTACCACGAAAATATCAGTTGTCAAGCAGTGGTCACTTTAGAGAAAAGCAAAAGAAAGCAAGTGGGTGGTACATGCAGGAAATGGAAAAGAGAAAGACAAGCAAAAGAAAAAAGCAGAAAGAAAAACAATCAAGTGAGCTGCGGCACAAAAGCAAAAGGAAAAGAGAAGCAGTGGAAAACAGAAACAAAAGCAAAAGGAAAAGTAGAAAAGGAAAAGAGAAACGCAAAAGATCTTCCTATTATTATGATTCCTTATGTTTGCCAGATGAAGAGACAGAGAGAGTGCAGCAGAAAAACACTGCAAAAGCAAGGAATAAACACCCCACCAGAATGATGTAATTTATTCTCCTTATCTTTAGGAAACATCTGTATAAACCTCATCAGAGGGTAAAAAAAAAAAAAAAAAAAAAAAGGCAAAGCCCAAAATAAATGGGCTGGCATGTTGTGGAGGGCGAAGGCCCATAAGCCTGAAATAGCACCAACCAGGTGATCAAAATTACGCTCAGTACTCCACAATTATTCGGCAACCCACCTTTATTATCACCAATAAGGTGATCAAAAGTACGCCCAGTACTCCAAAATTATTCGGCAACATGCCGCTATTACCACCAACCAGGTGATTAAAAGTACACCCAGTATTCCACAATTATTTGGCAACCTGCCGCTATTACCACCAACCAGGTGATGAAATGTACAACCCGTACTCTTCTTCATGCCATCAACCAGGTGATGAAATGTATAATCCGTACTCTAATATCATTTGGTAACTTGCCACTCATACCACCAACCAGGTGAAGAAGGAACTCATCTTCATGAGCATGAGCACTACTTATATCAATCACATCAAACATCATCAGCATAAACAACTCATATCACTCATCAACATCATGACATCAACTCATGACAACATCCATGAGCATCACTCATGTCAATCAACATAAACATTCATGAGCATCACTCATGTCAACATTCAGAAATCAGCTTCAAAAGCTTCAACTTCATTCAAAGCTTCAAAGCTCTAGCTTCAAAAGCTTCATTTACAAAAGCTATAGCTTCAAAAGCTTCATTTATAGAGCTCCAGCTTCAAAGCTTCACTTGCAAAGCTTCACTTACAAAGTTTCAATGCAGGGTATACAAATACCACATCCGAACAACCGCCACTTCGGCCCATACATGGATTCAATTTGAAGTCTCCAGCCAACAGACTCTATTGACCGAAGACTTGGGGGACTACATTATGTACCATATATTGGGCCTCAACTGGGCCTCATAAAAAAATACTTGGGGGACTTAATCCATTACTTATGTATTGAGGAGCGAGCCCTTATTCTATAAAAAGGACTCCCTCACCATCATTAGAGAGCAACGCCGCCAGCTGAGCAACCGTCTCGCCGCGAGCATCAACTCTAGCCCATCATTTATGTATTGAGGAACGAGCCCTTATTCTATAAAAGGGACTCCCTCACCATCATTAGAGAGCATCAACTTTAGCACATTATTCATGTATTGAGGAGCGAGCCCTTATTTTATAAAAGGGACTTCTTCACCACCATTAGAGAGTATCACCGCCTACTGAGCAACCGTCTCGCCGTGAGCATCAACTCTAGCCCATCATTTATGTATTGAGGAACGAGCCCTTATTCTATAAAAGGGACTCCCTCACCATCATTAGAGAGCATTAACTCTAGCCCATCATTCATGTATTGAGGAGCCAGCCCTTATTCTATAAAAGGGACTCCCTTACCTTCAAACGTCGCAAGCCGAGCCAATCAAGGCAACATAAGCCACGAGCCGAGCAGCCTCGCAGCGTGTGCTACTTCTAGTTGAGCGTCATTTCAAATTGAGCACTGCCTCATATCGAGCATCAGTTCAAGACAGCATCTAGTTACTTCGACCCACACATGGACTGAATTTCAAGTTTCCAGCCAAAAGACTCTATTGACTGAAGACTTGGGGGACTACTGTTTATACCATATTTAAGGCCTCGTATTTAGATCTCGTACAAATACTCAGGGGACTTAAATGTAATTATGTGATAAAGGAAGGGGCAAATATGTAATAAGTGAGGAGTCCTTGTTTTATAAAATGACCTCTTACCCTCACAATTAGGGGAGGCCATTTCTGGAGCCTCCTCACATCCCCTAAGCTCTAAGCTCTCTCTCCCTCTTCAACAGAGAAATATAATACAATCAGTGTGGACGTAGCCCAAACCTTGGGGTGAACCACGATACATCTTGTGTCATTTACGTTTCTTGCAGATTCACGGTCGGATTTACGTTGTTCCAAGACCTTCGGTTTTGTGCATCAACAAGTGTCTTAACTCAGATACCAAGTAGATCTTCATCTTTTGGAATGCAATCTGCTAGTATGTCATAGGGCACTGGTTTAAGTAGTGGTTCCTTGCCATTTCCACTTCTTTCAATGCCAGTCTCATCTAATATGCCACTGATGTATCCTCAATTTCCTGATACTCAATTTCTTGGTACTTAATTTTCTGGTAATCAATTTCATCCATCATCATCTTTGTTGGTACCATATTATATTGGGCCTCGTTACATGGGCTTCCAGACATTGAGCTCATGATTCATGTAAAATGGGAGGAGCCCTTAGTCTATAAAAGGGTCTCCTCACCCTCATAATCCTCAGGTTTCATCCTCACATACAAAGTCACAAGGCTCACAAACAAAGAAACTCTCTCAAATTCTCTCTTTCTCTAGAGGACTCCTCCTCACACTTGTAATCCATACATACAGTTACAGAGAAATACAATCAACATCAGTGTGGACGTAGCCCAAACATTGGGGTGAACCACGATACATCATCTTTGTTCTTTAATTCACGATACATCAGTGTGTTGTTTTACTTTCATTGTTGCATCACATTGTAGATTCCGGTCGGATTTACGTTTTCCAACTCTTGTGTTCTTTCACGGTTTAATCGTTTGGTGGAACGACACGAAAAGCTATGTCGGTTCTCTTTCATTTTTTTCATCTCATCCACCGTGAATCGGCAGAAACCGAAGAACCAAACATCTGCAGAGTCACTGCAAAACCCATCTCTAAAAAATGCAGAAACAAAACCTCCCCAACGCAACCACCGTATCTGTCTCTTTCTTTATGTTCCGAGCACTGCCCAGCACTTTTAACTGAGCGGAGCTGCAGAGATGTTGCAGTTGCAAGGCCTGCGGGCGTTTTCAGTTGCCGAACCCACCCACGTGGCCCTCCCCTTCTACTCACGTGTCATCCGGTCGTCGCTCCGCCCCCGCCGTCAATCAGCTTCCTTCCCGACGACGCGACCACGTTTCCGATCACTCCCCAACGTCAGGAGCTGCACCGTTCACACATTCAATTTCAAAGCCACCATAAAGCACACACACTCTCTCTGCGTATTTGCACTCATTTAATGAAAAATAAACCTTGAGAGATAACCATGGCATGCTCGAACAACCCTGGCATGCTCGAATCCAATCGAGCTATCATAATGTATGAATGGATCTGAGAGAATCCAACAGCAGGAGGCGACTTTCACCGTAATCGAACCCCGCAAGTCGTAACAAACTTGTCTCCGCCGCTCGAGTCACCCCGTCGAAATCCAGGCTGATTAGTCCGATGAATTTGACCAAGATATTGGCTGCTCTTTTGGTATCTCTCCCAGTTCTCGTCACCTTCTCTCTCGTTCATCGAAACCCGTCTCCCAATCGCATCAAAGGCTTTGCTGACACCAGAATTATCGAAAGACTCATAACAAATGACACTCATCGTCGTCCAGCTCGGCAAGATCACCAAAGAAGAATTAAAGCAGTAAGAAGCCTCTGCTCATGGCTATCAAGGGTGAGATCTATGACGTGTCCCAGACCAGTGGAGTTGGTATACCAACATACAAAAGTGGCAAGCACAGAACAAGATAAGATTCCACTTCTAAAAAATGATGTTTGGAGATGAGAAAAGCTTAGAAGGAAGTGGATTTACAGTCACTGCTCACCCATGTTGTAAACCTGCAAAGCAGAAAGCAAAAGTAAAGAAGAGAATAAAATCTGAGAGATTGGGATTTGACTTAGTAAGACCGCAAGTGGTAGGGGACAAACTGTAAAGAAGAGATTAATGATTAATTGGGTGCACATGCATGACAGCAGCGCAGAGACAGAGACGGAGAGAGATGTGCGGTGGAAAGAGAAAAGGAAAAGTAGAAAAAACTCTCCAGTACGCAGTAGGCGCAGTACGCACCAACAACATGCAATTGTCAACCACTCTTACAAAGGAAATCTCACTGTTGCCAAGTCCCATCACTTTTTTTTTTTTTTGAATGATGTGATTTACTTTTCTTATCTTTTGGAGACATCTGTATAACTCCACCAGAGGATAATAAAAAAAATGTCAGCAAGCCTATAATAGTGG